TCTAAAAATAGGATTTAAGGGAGATTTAAATAATTGAAGAAAGATTTTCTGCACAGCACAGGAATTTATATTTCTCCCTCACACTGATCTCACCACAATCATTACATTTATCTCCAGGGACACCACTTTCTCAGCTTATGCCCTGTTCTTCTTTGAAAACATTTCTACAATTTACATAAACATTAACCATAGTTTTAGAATAAAATGCATTTTAAAGTAGGTCCTATCATGTAGCAAAGCAACTATTATTTCACATATAAAATGTACTAGCATCAGCATTTTTATCTGCTTGCTCAGAAATTGTGATTATTTTAAATCCATTATAAAATATGATTATTTTAATTGAATATTGCAAGTGTGGAACAGCAATATTCCTGCATTATTTTGCACCAGTGGGAAACCTTGAGCTGTGTTGCTATAGCCTAAAATAACAGCAAACTGATGGAAGTAGCAATGATAAGAAGCAGAATGTTTTTTCTTTTAGGACTCATAACATAACTTCAAAAATAAAGGGAATTGTTTCTAATATGAAAACAGCAAATAGATTCACAAATAGAAACTAGTAAGCACAAGAAAACTTGCAGACTCCAGGTCAGATTTTTAAGTTTCATTTCCCAATTAAACAATAGGATTTTCCCACTAGGAAAAATTATCTGTTACAAGAAACAATGAAACAATTGATGTTTTAATTAGTCTTGTAAAACAAGTATTTTCTTCCAAATATTAGAATCTGAAAAGCTGTAAACTCGTCAGGGAGGTGTTCAAAATTTCACAAGCAAAACTGGCTGAGGCATTGTACTTTTTAAAACATTTTGACAGATTATGTGATTACCCAGCTCCAGGGAAGGCAAGGCTGTAGCTAAAGGCAGAATTATTTTCTTCTGCATAACTGTTTGTTTTGACTTTTTTCCTCTTGTAGACAAATCTACTTGTTTTCTGTGACTGTTAAACCAGGTAATTTTTTTAAACACTTACTTTAACAAGAGATGATAAGTGTTCTTTGGTTATTGGCTGTTTTTAAAATTTCCTAATCTTCTTTCCTTGAATTCTGCTGAAATCTTACTCTGGAAGGGCTTATTTGATGGCAAAATCTAATAATGACACTCTGTGCCTCTCTGGTCACATCCACCCAGATTTCACCATTATCAAAACACCAGTCCTGGGAAGCAGCTGATATGATCTATATTAATTTTACTGAGAGAGAAAACAAGACATAATGAAAGTGTCTGGAAAAGCTTCCTGTGAATTTTGTAGCAATGCCAGGACCTGAACACAAATTGTGGTGTGATTTGATTCCTAAGCCAGTGGTTTCCAAACTACAGCTAGGAACTCATTGCACAATTGTGGTCAAGATTCTACAGATAATACACAAAGCTGCCTTTACAGTGTTTTCAGTTGGAGAAATTGATTGTAAGAGACTGTGAGAAGTTACACTCCCTTGATCTGAAATATTTGGAAAGAACCACATTTTCCTGTGAGTATGAAAAAACACAGTCAGAAGACATGTAGTTTTAATTGCTAAATAAGTTTGAGCCTTCATACATCTGTATTTTCTCTTCAGAGAAGTATGAATGAAAAGTGCCATCATAACAAGTTGTGTTACATGCTTACACCAACAAATGTATGTATATCCTAAAATAGAAAAAGGAGAGAAAATACTTACTCCAAGAAAAAATATGGAGTTGCAGTATAGGAAAAGAACATTTACTCCAAGAAATATGGTGAAGATCCATACATTATGTAGGACCCAGGAAGGATGCATAGTTACTTCAGGTACCTTCTAAGTCCATTTAAAGAGATGGCAATACTGCCTGGTTGTCTTAAAGGCATACTTAAATCCTCCTGTGCTGTGGCTACTGCATCCATTTTTCCAGGTCACGTTCTCCTCTCCTGCTCTCAGTGTCTTGTCCAGGCAGATTTTTGGTAAAAGCAGTTCATGCCTGTGGTTTTGAACCCCTGAGAAAGAAGGAGCCAGTGTGGGAGGGAGAGCAACAGTACCTGTGCCAGCACAGCAGGAGATGCTGAGCAGGCAGCAACTGGCTTCTGGACAGAGACCTTAGGCTGGGGTGAAAAGACAAAGGAAGGTGGCCAGTTTAGGATGAGGAATGTAGGGAGACATGTGAAAGGAATGGGATCATCCAGAGTGGGAGAAATAGACTTTTTTTTCTTCTTGCAACCATATAATTCTGAGTTGGGATGCACTAGGAGTCTCAGGACAAGCCAGGACTGAAGCAAATGGGGCTGGGATCTGCATGTTACATGAGGGATGGGGTTACTCTGGAACAGCTCCACTCTATTCACTCACACAACTAGGCATCCTAAGGTTTGTGGGCCAGAGACTTGAGAAAATACCCATTAAAGCCACAAGGCCAGGCACCGCCTTAACTCCCTCTTTTGATACTGGAGCCTTCTGTCACCAGGAGACATATCAGAAGGAGCCACAAGGTAATTGCTGCACCAGGTAACATCCACTGAGCACACAGAGGGTATTTTTCTGGCTGTTTGCCATGCTGTGAACGGACCCTGAGGACTCAGAAGAGATGTTGAGGGCCACTAGAGGGCTTGTGGGGCAGCTCTGTTTTGGCAGCTGGAGCTGATCACAGCTCTGTGGTGCTAGGGTAGGCGGGGGCCTGGGTGCTGCACTGCACTTTTGGGCTGGGGTTAGCACCACACCAAACCCAGGCACTGCTTTGCCCACTGCAGCACCACATCTTTGCTCTAGCTGAGCTCTGGCAATTGAATAGAGATGGACCTGAAACACACTCTCCTGCTAGTAACTTTAACCAGCTGGCTTTGTCTAGAGGTACATTATTGCTACCATTTTTCGCTCTTTTAAACACTTTTTTAGTGGAATATCCAACAGTGAAGGTAGTGTAGTTTAAAAAAAGTGCTCGCCTTTTTCTCTGTTTTGTTATTCTGAAAGAGAAGATGTCTGAATAGTTTATTTCTGCATGCACTGGTCATTTAGAGTCCTTTTATCATCCACCTTTACAACAGCCAGCTGAATCTTCAAAGCACTATTTGGTATATGAACAAGGTATAGCTTGTTCCCTTATCATGTGTCCTCCATCCCAAATAACTTGAAATTGAGACAGTTTGAACAAAGACTTTGAGAGAGTAAGATTTTACTTAGTCACTGCATTTCCTACCTGCATTTATACATACATGTATGCATATATACACACACACATATATATTATACACACACACATATATATATATATATATATATATATGGAGAATAGAAGAAAAACAAGCCATTCTAAAACCAGAACATACATAGATTCATTTATTCCTGTGTAGTTTTTGATTCATTTATTCCTGTGTAGTTTTGCTGTATTTCTTAACATCTGCTCCCCACAGAGGATGACAAGTGCTGGGAATATTTTTTTTTGTGTTGAGAAGAGAATGTTTACTAACGATTAGTATTCTGGCAGCCATGCTTACGACAGCAACCCTGTATATGCTGTTAACAGTGACCCACCTGTAGGCCTGTGTGCCTCCTTCATAAAGATATTCTGAGACTGTCCTGCATTATTCATCACTGCAACCATTCAGACTTCAGAAACATATCTGGGCAGCAGTAATAATGCTGCTTTCCTTCAGGCAAAACAAATCTAGGCTGTCCTCAGTCTTCCTGTCCTCAACCTGTCCCCTCCTTCTTGCTTTTGCTCACTCTCCTTCTTCCCAAGTTTACCAGTTGAATAGTTCATCTTTTACAAGGTTCCCTGGAGAGACCTGGGCAAAAATCAAAATCAGCTTTCTTTATAAAATGCAACTCCTCAGGAGAGCCCCTTTTTAAAGTCCACAATTATCATGGCTGGACAGTAACCCACTCTACAATATGTTTTTCAATAGAGTCCATAATAATTTATAAGGCCTCTGAAATTAACCCTAAATCGCCTCCATCCCACCACTGTGTACAATTATGTGAATTATACTTCTAGGAGACACGAACTGAACTGCTTGGTTACAGGACAGAGGGGATATTTTTAAAGCAAAGCAGTCTTTAGCCCCACAGTTATATCCCTAGCCAACACACTGATTTTTTTCGTAAAGATTTAATCCCGGTCCCGTAGCATGCCACACATTCTCAACTCTGAATGACCTGAGTGTATGGAACGAAAATGTCAGGAGTTTTTAGCGCCTGCTGCGGTGAGACTCGCAGGATTAACAAAACTTGCCGGCATCAGCCGGCTGCAGTTCAGCCGCTTTCCACTTCATCAGTTTCCCACGAGAGGGCAATGCCATCCCTGTTTTCCATCCTTCTGGAGAACGCTCCACAGCTTGGTCAGCCTGCACATTGCCCCCTCTGCTGACCGGGCCACGCTCAGACTGCTGCGTTGCTCTTACATAAATGGATCTATTTAACATTGCGGTTATTGGTCTTCAATAAATGCTCTACCATTTACTGGCAAAGGAAATATTAGTAACTGCGAGACTGTTGGCAAAGGCACTGTAGGCTCCAAAATGATTTATCATTATGTGAGCCCTGAACTTGTGTGCTCCTTTGAAATATTATAATTTATTTTCTACAATGATTTATAAGAGGAAAGCAGCTTCAGACATTCGTGCTGTCTGGCTATCCTTACACAATACAGTACAATTATCAAGCAGATGAGCAGGAGTTTTTTTTTTTGTGTAACTGTTACTGACAGGGAGCTGTAGGGGAAAAAGCTGTGAGGAAGAAGAGGAGCATTACTGTTCAGTACACATCATCAGTGCCAAAGCTGTCCTGTAAACCTATCTCGTGTTTCAATAACCTGCTATGAGAGCTCTTCATATGTCAGGAACAAACTATGTGCTTGCTGTTTCGAACCCAAGGTGAGTCAGTCATGCTCTACCCCTTCCCCCTGTATCTGTCTGTTTAAAAAGTGCCGTTTTTATAGCTGGTTTTTGTTCTTTTTGCCTTTACAGGCAGAAAGGACAAACTAGCAACACCCTCCATCCCAGTGACACCGGTTGTTTTGCCATTTGGCCTGTCAGCAGTACAAGCACAACATTGCAACATCCAACTCCTCCACATCATTCTCTCTTCACCACAGCAGCAGGAAAGATAAATGGCATTCCAGAAGAAACATCTCAGCAGAAATCCATGCCAGTGCTACATCTCTGCGTCTGACAGGAAGCCTTTAATATCTTTCTGGATTGAGTCTACGTGAATTGCCCAAGTGAGTGTGCCGTGTCCAGGGCTAGGTATCAGAGCTTCCTGGCTCCAGGCCTTCTGTTTTGACACAGCTCTTTCAAAAGGTGACTCTAGACACTGGTAAGTTTTCAGAATTGCAACTGGTGAAGCTTACACAAATGCTTTTGTTTCCTCAAAGCATGCATGCTGCAAGTTTTAAACCCCTAGTACTAAGGGGGTGGGAAAACCATTCCAGTTTGAGAAGCAGCAATCTCATTTTTCTAATGGAGTTACACCTTTTATTAATACCCAAAACCACCTGTCCAAAGCAGAGAAAACACTGAAATTGGACTATTTTATTTTTCTCTGAGGTACATTTTCAATTTGATATTTCAGGGGTCAGATGATGTTTTGAAAATGCTCTCACAGATGCCTTTTCTGCATTCCTCCTGCCACTGTGGATCGTGTCTTGGCTGGTGTGATTATTCATGTGCTGCAGTGGTGATGCTCTCTGGGGCATTCAGTTGCTGCTGGAGATGTGTGATGGAAAAGGAACTCTGCTGCCTACTGTGAGCAATAAATACACTGTGGACTCTTTTGGCAGATTTGTGGTTTCCATTGTCTGAACATCCTTCTAGACTCGTCCAGAGTCTCTTCTGCTACCTGAATGGTGTAAAAGGATTAGAAGAGAGTCATAAACATCCACACAGTTCATGTTACAATTGCCATTCATCTCCTCTCTTGAGATGATTTGTTAATCTAGAGATTATTTGTTAGTTTAATTCTCCAATATAGTAAAAGAGACTGAGCACATTTACAGAAACATCTTTTTTTCTCCTTTTTCCCCCCTTTGTTTAGTGGGGATTTTTTGTTTGTTTGGGATTTTTTGGTTTTGTTTGTTTGTTGTTTGTTACTCATTTTGGGGGGGGTTGTGTGGGGGTTTGTTTTGTTTTTTTCCTTTTTCTGTTTCTTCTGGTTTGGTTTGGGGTTTCTGTTTGGTTTTTTTGTTTGTTTGTTTTGTTTGTTTGTTTCTTTGGGTTTTGGGTTTTTTTTGGGTTTTGTTTTTTGGGGGCTTTTTTTTGAGTGTTGCATGTATTTAAAAAATGCAAAGGCTATTTTTTGCCACTTAAGTGCAGCTCCTCAGTTGCTTATTAGTTTAATGTTTTGTCTAGGTACAGCCTTAAAATTGTGGCAGTTAAATGGGATTCTAAGTGAACAAGCTAAACAGTCTCTCAGGAGTTACACCTATGGAATACAGCCAAAGTGAGTACAAACTGAGCTTGTACTGCATGGCACACAGCTGTGCAGCTGCAGGGCACCTTTGGCACAAATGCTATCCTGTGTTCACTGACCCTCACATCTCGCGTTTGGAGAAACCTTGATGGGAAGGAATAAGGATCACATTTCAAAGCCTTCTCAGTCCACGTGAAATAAACCATGTCTCTAACACAGCTGTCTTACTGTCCCTTGCAGTCTTGAAACTTTAACTGTTAAGTGCATGTTTGGGGATTAAAGCATGTTGTTTCCACAGAGCTTGTACTCTAGTTTTTGGGGCCCTGGTTCAGAGGTTTGGGATGTGTGATATATTGGGAACTGGTTTTCTTTTGCACATTTTAATTGTGCTAAATCTGTTTTAATAAATGTAGATTGCAATGCCTGTGTCATAAAAATATAAACCTTGTCATATGTGATGACGAGAGTCTCTCAGCTAAATTTGGCAATACTACTGTAAAAATATTTTAATAAGGTAACTGAACAGTCCAAATAGTGATATTGTGGTTTTGTTGAATGATTTTTAAACTGCTGCCATTTTTCTAGACTATATGGGTGTGCTTTGAAACAGAACCTTTTGAAATGAGCCTTAAATGTACTTTGGAAAATAAGGCAGTTGGAATCAAGTGATATTTATTTTTTAATTGGATCCTGGGATTATTAACCTCTTGGTTACTGGGAAAGAAATCTAGATAGAAATGACACATTGCACTATTACTTGCATTCAGCTGATAGAAACTGACATGTTTTCATTTTATCTTACATGGATTTCAGAAGAGAAATTCTAATGTGCAGGTTTTTCTTTTCTTTAAACAGAGAACCTGGGAAATAGTTTGAAAATTATGATTTAATAAGAGATATATACATCAAAATGACAAATGCATTTGATAGGTCTGCAAATACTGTACATTGTTATAGTTCTACATTTCTGAAGTCTCTGAATTTTATTTTTGTTCCTTTTAATTAGATCAGTATTTCTCTGAGGATTTAAAAGAGAAAACTCATGCACAGAATGAGAGAACGTGACAGAAGTTTTGTTTCTTCAGCACATTTGCAGTAAAAAGCCCCAAAAGATCTGTAAAACAGATCACTTAGTCTGCAGTGATAAGCTGCTGATTGTTACTTGTGTAATGATCCCTACAAATTGTGCCAATATCCTTCAAAAGCAACATACCAAAAGATTAAAGCCTTGTGAAAATGTCATAACTCACAGTATTCCTATTGTGACAAGGGAGACAAGTCTATTTCCCACCAAACCCCAGCCCTGCCTGTCTCTTGTTTATCATGCCAGCTCCTAAAGCATTACCAATGGTTCCTTCCCATTTTTTTTACCCACTACCCACTTCCTCTCCTTACAGTGGGCGGGTTTGGCTGTGCTACAGGATATGTTCATGATGCTCTTTGCCGTTCATAACTGGTGAATGGTTGCCTCTGGAGTGATGCAGAAGACATGTCAGTGTCTGGGGGCTGGAACTGTGCGAGTTGGCATATTCCCTTCCTACTGGGTGTCAGATGAAAAACGTGGCAGCTGTAACCCTCAAAATGGTAAGCCACAGCACACCACTAGGCACAAGTGGGTAGAGCACAACAGACAGTGCCTATTAGTTCAAATTAGAAAGCAATTTTCAATTACTAGTTGTAATGACAATAAAAAAGAAGATGCTTGGTCATCAGAGGAATAGTCTTCTGCCATGTGTTCCAGATGTTTCACGGTGGTGGCTTGGCCCCGATGAGTTTCTACCATTTGCTGGAACATTACTTGAACCATGAGTACAGGCTGCTTTGTTCTCTACCTGGTGAATGCTTCTTCTGGAGCAGTGTAACAGAGCAATTCCCCTACAGAGAAACCAGAACTTGACAAATGAAGGGTGGGAGCAGGCATCAAGTTCCTAAGGAAAAGAAAGCCCAGCAACATTAACCATGGTAAAGGAGCTCTGGGCTTTAGGGCTTTTTTGATGGAGTATCAAAACATCCATGCAGTAGGGTTAGCATCCAGGAGTGCACTCCAGAACCCCTCATCATGCAAGGTATAGGACAATTCTTTATAAAAAGCAGAGTTTGGGAGAGGAAAATTCTTTGTAGTGTTTTGTGCACCAAGGATCACTTCTCTGATTAGAGCTTGCATCAGCAAATGCAATATGATGAGCCATCCAAAGTTCATTGCCAGCCTGTGGAAAACAGATCAGATGTATTACATTTAACAGATAAAATCAACAGTTGATTGTGATCAGGGTGACTAATCAGAGTACCTTAACAAGGAAAATGACCTGCAAGATGAAGCCTCCACATTCTCATGGAGATTTGTTATTTTTGTGATCTGTGCTGTGCAAGCTCTTAAAATATATAGTGTGAATACAAGAAAGCTGTGTCATGACCTTTACTTATAGCAATAAAGTGTTGTTTTTCTTTCTTGGGGATTTTTTACAGAAAGCAGTGAGTTCATCATCCTGTATGTTCTGCAGTGTGTGTGGCACTCTCAGGTTTAAAAGCTATGGCTGTAAGTGGGATGAAAACAGAAATCTGTTTCCGTTATGTATTTTATACATATATATATAAAAATATATATATAAACATATAGAGTCTGTCCTATGACTGAAGAGACAGTGAGAGTCAATGTCTCATAAGGGAAAGCTGCATGAACCAGTGATGGGGGAGAGATACTCAAAAGTCATACTCGTTTATTTTCTTTCCAGTTTCTGAAATTAATTTGCTCTCTGACCTTGATCAAACCTTACAGCTGCTGTTTACCATGAATCAAAACCAGACAATGTTCTTTTAATTGAAAAACACTTTTAAATGAGAGGATAACAAAATCCATGGAAACCATCTTAGAAATCAAAGATGACCAGTTGTGCCCAGATAGGGTACTGTAGATGTAGGCCTTACCATTCCCCATAGTTTAACACAACTAAGACTACAATAGTGTTGTGAGGAGTTTCCTTCTATTTGTTTCCCAGATTTTAACCCCTTCTCACTCCCCCAGAACTTTTTGAAGCTTCTGGCATAGATGTGGCATAGATGCGGCATAGTACCACAATTAAAAACTAAAACAAGGAAGCTACAATAAACCACCCCAGTTTCAAAACACAGGCAGTAAGATCTGGACCCCATTGCTTTCTCTGCAACTGGAAACTCATGAGGATGAGTCTGGGCAGTAAACATTTTCTTAGAGATGGATTCTCTAGACAGCCATAGCCATGCTGTGTGATCCCAACATTTATAAATATGATTTTCTTGCTGCGAAGTAGAGAGAGGGCTCTGTGCTCTACTCTTGTTCCTTGGTTCCTGTGGAAGTTACTCTCTACGGCAAGGGGATGGTCCAGCTGCTCATGGCAGGAGTGACACTGACACCACACTTCCCATTCTGCTTTCAATGATTCAGATGGTCAGGTGCTGGTAGAAGCCCCCTGGACTGCCAGCCACAGCAAGGACAGACTTGTCCAGTCAGTGATTTATCTGCTCCATGGAGAGGTGACAAGGGATCAGGCCTTCTCCTGTGGCTGATTTGAACTTTGACAGCTGCCAGTAAATGCCTGTGTTGTGTCCCATGTTAAAAGTTCTCAGAGGATCTCATGATGCCTTAGGTTTTGTCAGATCCTGTGCATACAGAATGAACAGGGATGAACTCCCCCATACTGTGCAAGCAGGCTTAAGTATTCTCTGGGTAAAGAAGCTTGCACCACGTTCACAGGATCAATCTTCTCACTTCTACTTACCTGACATCTAAGCCATTTCATTTTGTTCTTTTCTGAATTCCAGCAAAGTGAACACTCTCTAAAAGAGAAATCTGTGGCTCGGTAAAGTACAGAGTCTGAAGTAACACACTTCTGTTTTTCCTTTCTGCCTGACCACAGGTTGCAAAGCTTTCTTCCTTTATGGAAAGTCTGTTGGAGCAGCTATTCTCCTCCACTCTCATCTTCCCCCTTCCCTTATCCAGGTTACAGTTTTCTACTATCAGTCCCTCCCTGGTAAGGGCAGCCTGGTCTGTATTGTGGGAGATGGTGTGGAGCTGCACATACAATCTTCCCCTAGAAACCCTCAGAGAAAAAACAGCATCCTTAAGGAAGGTCTGATTTCAGACCATCTCCACATCTCCACAGGAGTCCAACTGGTACTGACATGAAGAAAGCAAAGGAATTTTTCTTCCTTGCTCCAGGCTAGGCACTATATGGTATTGTTGTAGGAGAAAAATTGGGTAAAATGTTATTTCTTGCTGTTTTTTAAGGGAGAATGAAATAATTATTTCAATTGTGGTGCTTGATATTGCAACCATTCTTTTCTTGTAAGTGCATTATTACCATATATTGATATATGTGTTTTCCTTTCCAACCCAATGGCAAGATGTGGACCACGCTTTCAAGGAATGTAGTCTAACTAAAAGAAATGTGGCATATACATTGAACAGCCTTCTGAGGGAAAGCTTTAGGCTTGTGGCACAATCAGGATCAAGAGATTAGGTGGAAGCCTTTTCATTTGCGATGTGTTTTACCTCAATATCAATTATCTTATATTCTTATCAAGAATAAGAATGAGCTACTGCAAATAACACTAGAATAGTAATTTTCCCCCCTAATGCTCTGGGTGCAAAACAGCCCACTAAATGGCAGCTGTTGTTTGAAAGAGTCTGAAGAACTCACAAATCATTTATATTTCCAAGACACTGCCTCTACCATACAGACTATGATTCAATAATTTTCTTCAAACTGTGACTCTTGAGAGAGACAAGTGTCAGAAAGGCAAGTGGTACTGGGCTGGACATGTCTTCGTTGAATGGCCAGATGATGGTGCTCTCAAAGTGTCCCAAGTCTCTAAACCTTTATGGTTCAGCTCTTAGGAAGAGACATTGTATTGAGATTTACCAGCTGAAAGCCTTAGTCCTTGAAAATTCAGGTAGCTCTGAGAAAAATAAAAGTCATGATTAAACCCATGCAAACTTTAGTGATTTTCAAGGATTGTTGGCAATGCTAAATGTAAGGTTTGTGTACTTACAGCCCACTTCATGTTTTGCAAGACTCACAGCTGGCAAATAACTTACGTCCAGTATTTCTGTGTTGTTTTTAGAACTGTACAAAATGTTCCATGCTTAGACAATTCTTCTCAAAGCAGGCACAAATTGAACAAGAAAATCACATCTCAAGTGGTATATTTGGGTCTCAGAGTACTCTTGTTTAAAAAAAAAAATCTGTAAAGCAATAGTGACTCAGGGCTTTGCATAGGTCACAGTGAATCAGTGATTCAGCTGAGATAAGATGATTGACTCCCCTTTCCCTTTTTTTTACCCCATCTATTAGATCCCCCTGCCAGTATAAACAGTCTGCATAACTTGGTAAGGAGGTTAAAATGTCAGGTCGAGTTCATTTTAAATTGCTTGAGCCACTTGTGGAATGTAAACTCTATGATCAAGTTGGTATTTAACCACAAATCTTCAAACAGTTCAGTACTGAGACAAAAAATGATTGCATAGCAAGCTATGGCTGCCTGATAGATACAGGCCAAGAGTGTAGGTGGGTCTTATCTTCTGTTGGAACTTCTAAAGTGATTTACTATCTCCATATAACAGATGTGTTTCATTCTCATTAAAAAAGTTAAATCCTAGTGGCTACATCAGGATTAGCTAACACCCAGCCCTGCTAAACAGGACTTGCCAGAGTACATAAAAATAAAACTACTTAATCAGCTATTAAGAATGATGAAGAAGCAGTCATGATGTTTCTGCAATTTAG